CCCACTCTCACTCACTCTCACTCTCACTCACACTCGCACTCACACTCACACTCTCACTCACATTCACTCTCACTCTCACCCACACTCTCACTCTCACCCTCACCCTCACCCTCACGCTCACGCTCACAGTCACACTCACTCACCACCACCGCCACCGTCACCACGATCCCCACCTTCATCACCACCATCACCTCTTTGGACCCCAATGTGTCTAGATCTCTAGACTTTCTGCTTATAGACCTCACACACACACACACACTGTTTGGGGTCTCTTGCCGGGATAATTCTGCTATTCTGTCCTCACTCCCAAAACAAGAAACCTCTCATAAAACTGACGTCTTCTGCCACACCAAAGCAATTTCTGGCGTCTATCTTAGGTCGTTTGAGAGCTTCAACTTTCATCTGCCTGGGACTGGGCGAAAGGGCGTACAATGCCAATGACCAAGGCCATACTCAAGGTCAGCGTGATGGAGAGCCACACACCGTCTTTCGCTGCAACAACCTCAGCTGGACGGGCATGTTCATTGCCACTGGCAATTGGCTCACACCGAAAACAAAACACGGCCATCCCTTTCCACCGCACGACGCCGCGTGGGTGCAAGGAATTCCGAAATAATGGGCCCATCGGCGGCATGGAGACCCTGCCACTCTCAAACCCGACTGCTTCACTGCTTCGCTTCGCTCGATCTTTGGTCATGGCGCAGAAACCAAAGTCACCGAGACCACTTTCGAGCAAACCTCCACCCAAACGTCTCGGCAGGTTGCCTCAGGTGGTCAATTCGTGTGTCCCGAACAGTTCATGCATCCAAACGCACGTTGTTTCGCGGATCGTATGGTCGGGGGAGGGGTAGTAGATGGTAATAATGTAATAGTATGTAATAGTGAGGTTCAGCTTGCAGCTGGAGTTGCATACTTGCATAGGACTTGCTTCGCACCCAGAATCCATCCTTGGATGCCCAGCGGTTCCTTTTGCCCGCCCAACAATTCCAACACTTGACTTTCATGTCGTCAGTATCACATCAAGCTGTCATCGATTGCAAACCATGTTCATTGATTTCACAACGTTGGCACGCTAAATGAGACATCGAAAGCGGGAACTGGCCAACTCCCAGATACGGTGTCAAACATGGCATTAGAAGTGTCATTAACAACCCTGCAAACGACAGTACTGTCTTGATATTTGGATTTACTTCGGGCAAACCTTGCCGTCTACCGACCCAGTATGTTGCACACATGACAAACAAACATTTCATGCTCATGGTTTGCATTGATGACAGTAGAAGGGCCAGTGAGACTTGTTCAACATCTTCCTGACAAGTTTCGGTCCGACTTGATCTCATCAAGAATGCTCCGCTCTGTCAGCATCTGCACAATGCCTTTGCCATGGCAAGCAGCCGGTGCGAAACCCCTTTAATCACTAGTGTGTTCAATCAATCACTAGTTCTCCCTGATGAAAACTGCAGGGTCGACATGGGCCCTTGTCAAAGAACGCCTCTTAGGACTTTGAGTCTTTCATGATCTAAGTCGGTTTAAGCCACATTCTTCTTGCTCCGGATCTAAACATCAACTTCTACCACGCAAAAGCTTGGAATCTCAGATGGCATGGCTGAGCATGCCACTGTTGCAGTTGAGGATGTGCGCTTCCTTCTCATCACCCTCCAACATCACATTCGTGAGATGCTCCACCTACCAGCGAGGCCGACGAGCTTGAGTCGAGGATCAAACCCTATGCGCCCGCATGTACGGAGCGAGGTACTCGCCATCGGTGGTTGTACTGCTTTCCGATCGAAAGGACCAAACTCTGAGCCTGTGCACTCAGGAATCTTTGTTGGACCCTTTGCTGCGATGCCGAATGAGCTTTGCCTAAGCAGGCTTGCGGCTTGTGCACGCCTGACACTAGTGTTTCACTAGATGTGCCCAGGCCTCCCTTTTTGGCAAAACAAGCCACTGAAAAATCAGCATCTTCTTCATGCTTGTCAAGCGTGCTCACAATCCTTAGTCAAGGATTACGCATTCCCATCAGCGGATCAACTCGTTTGCATCTCGGCATGCGAAGAGTCCCAAAGACAGCGTGTGTATCCAAACGCGCGCTCACTGGTCTGCACAGCTTACACAAACGGCTCTTCTGCTCAGTGTTTACCTGGTGTCCCAAATGTCGATTTACAAATGGGTCATGAGATCATCATTTTTAATGACATGGGTGCGTGTTAAAAGCCCGTGGAAGGAGGGAAATTGATTGATTTTTGAAACAATAAATTATGTAGAACAAACTCATTGGTTGGAGGTCCCAAGCCAAACCATAGCCATTTCATTGAAACACCGTTCAATCCCGGATCCCTTCGAAGCCAAGCCTCACCATCTCCTCCCGCAGCCGGATTCTCGCACGCCCACCCGCGTGATGCAGCGCGACCTGCGCTGCTGCTGCCGCCACCAATCGCTTCTCCAAGAGATTCTCCTGCGAGGGAAGTCAAGGAGCCCTTTTTCGGTGCAACATCCACTTTGGGATTTGGGCTTGCCGTGCATGTGCACTGGCCCAAGATCCAAGAATGTAGGCAGAGTTTGGTGTATGTGCTCCCTAGATCTTGACAGCTTTGAAGAAACTCAAGACGGTGATGTGTTGATGATTTCCTAACCCACGGGTCAATGTAGGTGAAAATTCCTTGCGAGTCACAAAGAAAACAATTGCATCTGAGTGACAATGTCTTTTCTATGCAAAGAAACCTGGAGCATTTATAGCGCCCAAATGCGCACATGGGACCAAACCCGTGGTTCAAGAGATGCTAGTGAAGGCGTTTTCGAGTTCACCGGTATAGGGGACCCCCCCCACAATCCATGGGTCTTGGTCTCTGAACCTTCCAGGGGGTAGGTCTCCCTATTTGAATATACGGCCATATTGAACTGTGCTCGATCTCGACACGCGGGTGGGGAGTCCTTGATCGGCTGCGACCCTTCGCAAGTGCAAAGTTGTAGCGTGACATTTCCATTCGAGCTTTGAGCACGGGCGATGAAGGTCTTGCTTTGCCGCAGAAGCACATGCTGCTTGGCAAAAATAAAAGCCAACAAGCTTGGAATGACTACAGCATAGCACACGCCCGTGACCCGGCCAATCGCGTCCACCTCGCGTGTTGATCATCGGTGAGAACTGGCCGCCACAGTGGTTGATCAACAATCAAAACATATATCGACAGGCCGGCATTGCACCAAGCTTTCAACCCCAACATTGAATCGGTCGTGCCCAACAAGTGGAAAGATCACCTATTGCCTTCTTGCATTACATGACGTGAATTTCGCAAGCCGCACTGCTCAGCTCCCAGCCCAAACAGCTTCTTCAGTCTGCTCGGAGCACAGCAAGTGAGGGAAAAGTGGTCGAAAGGCAAAGCGGCCCAAGCTTTGACCTGCTCTACTTCTTGGATTTGCTTCAGGAACCTGGAAAAAAGTAAAACACATACTCCCCAGGCTTTGGGGAGAACTCCAGGAGCCCGGGAAAACACCAATCCTTCACCTCATCAGCCAGGACTCGGTTGGACTTCACCCAGGACTTCACCGCATCTTAACGCGCTACTTCCTTTCCCAGTCATGGAAGGCCTTTCCCACTTCTCTCCACGTGTCAGCAACGTCCCTCAGTTTCCCTGTTGAGAAAAGTTAGGTGAACCGAAGGAACTCAATCTGTTCATATTTTGTGGGGTTTCACCAATCCGCAAAAACGGATTGGAAGGTTCTCCACTGAGTGGGTAGGATTTGGGGCTTCTCGCCTGCTCCATCCTCTTCCTGACACTCCAAGAGCTGCGTCGAACCGGACGCTCCGCCAATGAAGAGCACCGTCACCACCTTCAGAGCCATGCTGATTCCTGCAAAAGCAACAGAAGAATGTTGACCCCATAACAGGTCTACCCTTTTTCTACGCGACCATGTGAAATTGAAAAGTAACACAGCCAACTCTGATCTTGAAAGTCCTACACCAGGAGCACACACTTCCACACACCCGCAGCAAGCCAGCAAAAGAAGTGGAAGGAGTGGTGTCACCAAAGCGGCCATGGACCGCACTGCACGCCCATCCAACTGGCACTGAAGAGAAAGGAAACTCTGCAAATCCATTGCACTCAGTTGCAATACTCCGATGTTGGCCACCCATGAGTCGCCTCGTCGGAACAAAGACATAGCGAGACACGCAAGGCGCGACGGCGCGGTGTGTCATTCGATGTGAGGCAACCGTTCGATGCGTTCGAAATGAACCAGTACAAAATCCCTAACATGATACAGTAAACTGTGCATGAAACATATACTTCGTGTCCAAGAAACCGCTCTCTTCGGGTACCACCTCTGTGACATTCATCCCAACCGGTAAGCTCTGGTGACTCGAGAGGCCGGCCAGGATGACCCACAGCTGCGCGAGTTGCAGAAGGCCGGCCCCCTGGGAGGCAAGCAGCTGCGCCGCACATGTATAGCGAATCTGGAGGCTGAACTCCGACCTTTCAGGGTGTCAAAGGGTCGTTTTCTGGTCCTGTTGGGAGGGGGGGGTGTTGATGTTTGGAGGTTGTGAGATGACATCTCCTCACTTGGTATGGGACTTCATGAGCTGGGAACTGTGCAAAGCTTGCACCTGTGGGCGTAGATGAAGCCAAGACTTAGAAGAGCCATGAGGGCGAGGATGAGGACCAGCAATCCGATGCCAAGGTGCTTGGCCTGATCCCCTAAATGGTCAGCGCATTTCACACATTGCCTCTTGCTCACCCGATAGCCAGCCTTGCAATCAGAACATAGAAGTCCCTCGTAGCCTTGGTTTTGCAGGATTGCTGATGCCGCTTCAACACACACACACACACTCACACACACACACACACACACACACGCCCCTTACATGCACTGCTCTGGAACAACCAATTGAAGAACCATGAGTCTCTCGGACGACTTACAAAACCAGGTTCCTTTAGGAAGGTGCCCATCATGTGTGTTGGATGTGGGGCAATTCCCAGTCATCAGCAAACCGAGTTTGTTAGAGGATAGAGGGAGACTTGCGTGGATGTGCTCCCAGTCACTAACATGGGACATCCAAGCCTGATTACTTATCATCCCAAGAAATGTCCAGAGAGATGTTGCCGCTTGGTTGTCGGACAGCCGAATTTTTCAGAGACAGGGATGGATGATCGAGATCCGGTAGCTTTCCCAGGGCTGCTCGCAGGGTAGCTCGGGCGTGAGAAACAGGCAGGGCACATGGGCAAATGGAGGATGAGGATGACATCCCACATGCCAGAAATACACCAGAAAGTTTGCTATACAGGTTTTCCTCCCGGATATTTTTTGCGCTTTTTGGCAACCTTTCGTGACGAAACCAGAAAAAACCATCCACAACTGACAAAGAAACTCGCCGTCACGAGTTACATACTTACACTTGGGACCAGAAGCAACACATGTACAGTTCCCAACCTCCAAAACAGGTTGAAGCCCACAACCACATCTTCAGCTGTGCGTCCACCTGCACAGCCAGATGGCTTGCAATGCTTTGGCTCCAAGCATTGGTAGGCCTTCTCTGCATTAGCCTCCAAGCGGGAAAAGCCGAACTCTGTGTCAGACTCATTGGCAATGCTTCCACGCACGGCACAGCGCAGCTTCAGCTCGCTGCAGGGTGTGCAGCGGTTCAGCGATGACAAAGCCCAGCCGCGTTCGCATTGACAACTCCAGAAGCCTTCCCATTCCTTGGATTTGCTTAAGGAACCTGGAAATAATAGAACATACGTATTCCCCAGAAGGGGATTTAACCATAGGGAAAAATCACTCAGTTTAAGCAAAACCAGGATTCAGTCAGAACACCAAATGAGCACTCACAAGCATCAACCGAAGTGGACCCCTTTCGTGCACTGGCATGCTGGGGGCAAGGCTCACATTTGGCCGATCCAATCACGGCACTAAAACTATCCGCTGGACAAGAGCTGCAGTTGGTACCTGTGCCTGCATAGCCCTTTGTGCAATTGCACATCTCGTTCGGCAGAAACAGTTCGGGCGTGACGCGGATGGAGTCTTGCACGAAGTCTTTGCAAACGTAGCCCTCAGACTCCTTGGTCAGGGTCCAGGCCTCTGCAAGAGTGATTTCTTTCGAAAGCAGTTCTCGAGCTTCGGTTGGATTGCTGAGGTTGACTCTCTTCAAGTTCAGCTCCACACCTCTTGCCGCTTGGAGTAGAGCCTTTCTGCCTACATTCAACGCGACCTTGTTGCCATGCAGGTCCACTCGCACAGTTGACGGGAGGGTGTCAAGAGCAGTGATGTAGTTGTTGGAGAGATCGATGGTTTGGAGCGTATCTGCCAAAGGGCTACGCCACGATGCTAGAGTCACACTGCCGATCGTCGCTGATTTAATGGCGTCAAGCTGCGGCACGTCTCCATGGAGGTTACATCTCGACGCGACGATTTTTGACAGAGGCGTCCGTGCCAAGGGCAAAAGCAGGTCGGATACTGTGCCATTCAATGAGCATCCGCTCACCTCAGCCCATCACACCGGTTTGTTAGGCACCAACTCGCGACGGTGACTGAAAACGGATGAAAACTGAGGAGCGTGCAACCAATGTCTGCAATGCTGGTAGCAAGGTATGGTCAAACCGTCGAATGCGCCCCTGGTTGGCTGGGAGGCTGACATGGCTGTCCTCAGTGATTGCACATTGACCAAAATCAGCCGGAACCAAACCCACTGTTGCACGTCCAAACGCACCATTTTGAGATGCACAAAAGATCGAGTTTGCTTGGTGGACCCATGCGACCCATGCCTGTAGCAAATCAAACACACGTGTGGGGCTGGACGACCAAAAGGATGCTCTTTGTTTATGAACTTAGAATGGATGAGTTTCTGCGAAGACTACCGAGATTCCTTGACGCTTGCGCTGCAAGAGTAACAAGCCAAGTACCGTCGTCCATTAGCAGCGGCAAGCTCATGGACGAGTGAACACATGTGAAAACACACACAAACACCATGTGCTCATCACGTCAAGGAAGTGCGAATCAAGGATACGCGACAAACCTTCTCATTTCAAGTAGACCACATCGACTTGTGAAACATTGACACGACCGCTCTTCGAGCAACACCGGAATCCGTCGCTCGGCGACGCCGAGAAATGACCCAGATGCGTTCACAAATCCGCGAGAACGGCCGGGGTCTGTGAGATACGAACATGTCCACCTACATCAACACAAACATTTAGGTCCCCACCCCCATCCCCCCCCCCCCCAGTTTCTGATGAATCGGCAGTTTCTGAATCGGCCAGTTTCTGAATCGGGACACCCTGTAGTTTCTGAACCGGCTAGTTCGCAGGGCCGGGTCGATGCCCCTCGTTTCGCAGGAGCAGAGTGAGATCTAAAGGAGCGGGCTTGAGATTCAACTCAACTCCCAAGGCTCCATCGTGAAGATTATACATCGAGACCGTTTCAGGGAACATGAATACAGAGAGTTTGAGACTGGGAAGGTTGGACAACATGCGATTTAGGGGTGAGAGTCGAACCCATTGACAAACGAGTACCTCAACTGTCAGGAGTACCAAAACGATCTAACAGCAGTAGAACTGTGGGCAAAGCAGGATGCCAACAACCCTGGCTGCGAGTGAGTAATAGCACGATCCAGGAGGAAGGAGTAATAGCACAACATATCCCAGACCATCCATGTATGGAATACAGGCCGCCCCATTGACCCCTGAAATTCTGAAATTCGAATGTAATTAGGAAAATAGGCAAATCTGTAATGGATGGTCTGGGTATAGCAACCATGTTCCACGTTACAAACGGCGCCAGCTGAAATGAAAGCAGGCTGAGATGGGAGTGAGCCTCTCGCAATGCGAGTTGCATGTTCGTTGCTTCACCCAATCTCGCGAAAACACCACAGTACGGATGATAAAGCATGATAAAGCTCAATGGGCGAACCAATGCCGCAGCACGCGTTCGCACACGCCGGTCGCACGGCCGTGCGTCGCGGGTGCGGTGCAGAGGACGACCGGCGACGACGCTGCGACGTGGGGGGTGTGATAGACAGAGAATGGCGGGCAAAGCTGGAGGGAACTCAAAAAAGACATATGTTGGGAGCTAGTCATGCACTCTTTACCTTGGTAGGAACCACTCTATCCAGCACAAGTCAGATAGGACTAGTCAATGCTTCACCTGAGGACCCATCCGCTAGGTTCAGCTGGATCAAGTGCTCGCAGCAGCCTTGCCACTCTGACGATATCCAGCCAACGACCTGTGTTTGTGACAAGTCCACCTTCACAAGAGCGGGCAAACTTCTCAGCAGCTCTAAGCTGCCGCGAACCTTGGTCCTCTGCAAAAGTAACTCCTGCAAGTCCTTCATGCCCTGCAAAGCGCTGATTTGGCCGGTGATGCCAGTGCGTTGCAAGTACAGCTGCTTGAGCTTGGTAACATGTTTCAAGGAGCTCACGTCGCCAGTGATTTGGGTGTCTCCAAGGTAGGCGATGACAAGGCGAGTCATGCTTCGTAAAGCCATGATATCCTTAGAGGGACAACAAATCATAACGCGGGACTCGGTGTAGTCAATGAAGGAAGCAAAGGTGCTTGATCAAACGAAAGGCTTGAATACACTGGGGTGCCGAAAGTTGCGCTTCTTGACTTCGAAAACCGGACAAACCTTTTCCCCTTAGAATCCTACGTGCAACATGTCGACACCCAAGTTGCAGTCAGATTTCCACACCTGAAAGCTTTATAAACTTAAAAATATTATAGATTTAAACGGGTGTGGAAATGACCGTGCTGTACCTGCCAGGCAAAATGGATGTGTCAATTCGATCCGCTGTAGACCGCAAGTGTCATGTTGGAACAGAGTAAGAAGCGTAAACTTTAGGGTTCTTGAAGTATTGGTCAGCTTCTCAGTGTCTTTAACCAAGTCTCACCTGTAACATTGGTGTTCCAAAGCTTGAGCATCTTCAGCCAGAGGCCCTTCAACGCTGAGATGTCTCCAAAGATCTGTGTGTTTTGGAGTCTCAATGTATGGAGGCGTTTCAGATGCTGCAAGGCAGAAATGTCACCTGTTACATTGGTATACTGCAGCTGCACATTTCCCAGCTGAGCCATCCCTTCTAAGGCCTTGATTGGGCCAGTGACTTGGGTACGCTCAAGATTCAACACCTTCAGCCTGCGCAAGCCGGTGATGCTTGTAATACTACCGATGAGATGGCAAACGCTAATCTGCAGGTAGCTCAACTCATGCATGTTTTGGAAGGCTGCCACATTGCCGAACAGCTGCGACCCCCAAGCGTTCATGTGCCGAAGCGAAGTCAGGTTTTGCAAGGATTCCACCTCCCCAGTGACCCTTGTGCCAGAGATCGAAAGCCATCTGAGTTTGGTGAGGTTCCTCAAGGCGACAATGTCACCGCTGAAATTCTTTTTCGCAAGGTTCAGCGACTGGAGCTCGTGCATCTCCTGTAGAGCCGCAACGTCACCTCCAACTCCATTCTTCCACCCATAGAAGGAGAGGCGTGTGACCGCACAGTCGTGGCAGGTGACCCCACGCCATCCACATGGACCTAGGTCTACTTCTTCTGAATATATCTGACCATTAGATGAACAACAACGCGAAGCTTTTGGCTTCAACAAAGCAAAAACCATCCCGGAACATCTGCCATTGCCGTCCAGTGTGTCAAGGAACTGCCGTTGCCGTCCAGTCCCCAGAGCTTCAGTTTTGCCCGCAAGGCCTCCATCTCGGCCCTGCCTCAGTTCTCTTTACACATGCAACGAATGACGAGAAATCCAAGAAATAAGACATCGATCATTTCGAGCGCATTGAGTGAATGACATTTCTAATGACATAGGAAATAAGACGTTGAGTGCATGTCACACTAGATCTCCACACTCAATGGCAGGCCGCCCTGCTGAAAGAAAACCGGCCACGGGTTCGGTTCGACTGGACGAGTCACACGTGCGTCGCGGGGCTGGTGCGAGGTCTCCGAGTCTGCCCACCTCTCTTTGAAGCTCCGCCATGAGCCGTTCCTGTCGCGCTGCGAGTTTTCCATGTTTCTCTTTTCTTCCGACCCTTGACTTGAACTGAGTGTGAAGCCATGTTCTCATGAAGCACGACCCTTGCTTCAGGACACCTTTGTATTAGTGACCTGTTTGCGAAGCTGGAGTGCTACACAACCACAAAGTGCATGAAGCGTCAAAGTCTCCAAACAACTCAGCATCCCCGCACTGTGAACGGGTTGCTCACCGTGCATCCAAATTTATCTAAACAAATTGCCTGCGCTGCTCCTGAGAAGCAGCTCCTGCCTCCTGTTGTGCTTGTTCATGTGCGGCGACAATGGGAGGTAAACCAAAGAAATTCGGTAATGCTGGGCGCTTGAAAATTCGGGTCACACCTCCTCCAAAACACTGTCAACAAAAGACCATCTTTCCGCCCAAATCGTCCTTTCTCTCACCAACGACCGCGAGAGCTCGAGCCTGGGTCCTGTTTTTGCTCATTGGAACGTGCCCAATGGATCCTGCGGCCCGAGCCACCGATGCGCTTGGCCTGTTGCTCGACACACCAGACACAACTCATGTTTGTTTTGGGACGCTTCTCTGCTGCCAGGGTGCTAACCCTATATCTTCTTGGAGGACATAGCAACTAGCCTCTTGCATGGTTTGAACTTTAGGCCTTCAGACTGTACTCGGGTTACTGCTCAGACTGCTCTCAGACTGCTTTGACAGTGTACCAAAACCATTTGAACTTGCTCCTTGGCTGATCGCCATGCCCCACTCAGTTCATCACTGGAACCGTTCGTCACTGATAGCCTATCACTTTTATATATGTCTAAGGTTGGACCAATCGCATGAACAGCCCACACACTTGAACGTTCCTGTTGGGCATACCATATTCTCCCGTGAACGACCGCTCCTGCTGCTTCTCTTGGCTCCTGGCAACAGTCGCAAAATGACTTGCGGTTCTGTGCAGCAAAAATTATCTATAGCATGATGTACAGTACACCATCTCCTTGTTGGCCTGTTTTTTTTACTTCTGCCTTTGGTTCCTATAAGGGGCAAAAGTTGCGTTTCTTTTAAAGTGCAAAAACAAAACAATAAGGAATTGAACATGATTCAGCATGATCAACATTGAACAACATGATGCAAGTGGAGAACACTAGAACCTACTTGGCTTCTAAACATGGTTCAACCGCTTACCCCTGGTGATCCCTTTGCAGGTGAGCCATCAGCATCACAAAGCGTCCACTATAAAAGTGTTCCATCTCACAAACATGTCCGAACTTAAACAATGCCACGATTCATCTACCCGGTCCATGCTGTTGAGAACTCTTTGCTACTGAAATCCCGTCTCTCATGTTGTAACCAACCAATATCATATATAGATATATGACTGAAGAGTTACTTCCTAGCAGATTTCAGTGCACAACACTTGCTGTACGACTGTTGAGCCACAAGAATGCTGACCAAGATTGCAACAGCTTCTTTACCCCTCTCCTTCTTGGCGGTGTGCTGCAAAGGTGGTTCAGAGGACCTCACGTCCTTGGCAAAATCAACAGCTGGAATGCCGAGCCCGTCCTTGTAAGCCATGTTCTTGTTGATTTCAGGTCCATTGACGTTGCAAGGGACTACACTGCAAAGGAAAGGTCATTGACATCCTCTTGGGAAAGTGTGCTCCAGAATTGACAAAGGAATCAGACATGATTCTGACTGGCTCATGTTGGCACTTATGGAATCCACACAAATCATCCATGTGTATCATCTAATTCATCAATCTGCGACCATCTTAAAGCCCCTCGGTTCGAGTCTTTCTAGTCTTAGCTGCTGTCCCTCAGCGTAAAAGCAATCTCCTGAGGTCCAAGTATCCAAACCCAAATCCTCTGAGGCATGAGGTCGGATTCCACATGTGCAGAAGAAGCACAGGCACACCACGTACGGAAATATGGACTGAAACATTCATAGACTAGGTCAGCTTGAGCTGAAAGGGCTTGATAACACCCAAGGGATCCAAGGATACTTGTCTGGAAGCTGGACAAACCTGAATATTCCTGCTTCACATCGATGAGTAGAACTTACAATTTAGCCGCTCCACTCGGTAGGACGAGGCCACACACTGCGGGCAAAGACTCCCAGACTTCTCCAAATGAAACTAGTGTTTAGATGCGGTTAGTATGGTACAATAGAGACAGTACTGTGTAGTACTGAATAACTATACTAACTAAGTATATACATAGCTTCACCAAACCCCTCCTCCAAAGTTCTCTGAAGGGAAAGTACTGGCCGGGTATCATGGGATTCAATGATCTATTACCCTCCCCTCCTTGGCACCTCCCACCGCGATGTCTGCTGCGCGCTTGCATCTTTTGGTCCAGAGCAGGGAACCGTCCAAGTCTGCCGCTTTCTGGGAGCCTGTTGAAACGCTCCAAGTCTGCTACATCGAAAATCTTCGAAACATGTCAAACATGTACACTCCCTTTTTCTGGTTATGTGGATGGCATGGCCGAGGCCATGCATGGCCTGTTGGATGACCATGAAATCCTCTACAAACAAATGATTTCAGGGAGTGTACACAAATCTCACCCATCAGGTCCTGCCGTTGTGGCAAGCACTGGTGAGTGGGGATCCGATGGTCGAAGATGGTGGAGGTCGGAGATGGTCGTCTTCAGTGGCTGGGACTTCAACCAGGGACCAAACAAAACGGCTAACATATTATGACTGTGTGTTTTAATGGGGAGTCCCCCCAAAGACCTCCTGTGAAAATCAAAAACAAACGAAACCATTGGGCGGGAGGTCCATTGGTTGGGAGGTCCCCTTATTAAAATCACATCCATATACCCAAACACCAATGGGACTGGAATGCTAATACCGCCCCTGGTCAAGACCCTTGAAACCAAACCGACGTTGATCTGGAGTCAGGGTGCATGCTTCTTCACATAATTGGGCGGATCACAGGATCACCACGGCGGCCCTCGGATCACATTCCCCCTTCCACTTCGATCACCGCTGATCTGCTGGATCTGCTCGATCCGAGCTACCACCTCACACCTCTGCGTAGCTCAGAACTTCCATCGTGGCATCTCTTCGACCGAGCTCAAGCGGGCGGAGGAAGAGGCCTGGAACGTCGGAACAAGCCAAGGAGAAGTTCCAAAAGGCTTTTACATCCCTCCAACCTTGCTTTCTTGCATCTCCAAGAAGCTCTTACAGTAGCTCGAATGCGGAAAAACAAAAACTCTCCCCGCTAGCACCCAGTCCAGTCAAACAGCGCCTTCACCTCAGAATGGGGAGGAGATGGCGTGCGTCTACTCAAACGGGCTGACTCCACACCACCAACGCCTCAAACGAGCTGGCGGTAGAAGGGGCAAACAGAATTACTACATTGGAGAGAGTGAAACTATTCAAGGCCCCGTAGTTTTGGAAGAAAACTATTCAAGGCCCCCCTTAGTTTTGGAAGAAAGCTCTCACTGCACTGAAACGTGCGAAGAACACATGTCTCATCTCTTTCACCTGAGCTAGGGTGGGTTGTTTTCCAACCCCCCGCCCGGCGAAGCATGGAGGCTTGACTCATTGAAGGAAAGCCCGAAAGAATTCATGTTACATCCTGTCTATAGTCAGTAACTAGTCCCCAATGGGTCCACCATGCTTCCAGAAAAGACTGAAAATGAGTGAATTTGTTACTAGTAGCTTCTTGCTACTAGTAGCAATGGCCTCCAACCTAGTAGCTTCTAGCTACAAGTAGTAGTAGTAGTAGTAGTAGTAGTAGCAGCAGCAGCAGCAGCAGTAGTAACACTAATTGTAAAACTAATGAGTAAACACACATTGAATAAATCCAAAAAGATCGTCTTCGATTCCGTGCCTCGAGGCTGGACGCGGCGCCCCGCACGCACGGCGTCGTCCACAAGCCTGGGCCGTGCCAAGCTCGTGACCGGTGGGACATCCAAGCAGAGCACTGGTAGCACTGAGCTGGTGAGGGCTGTTGTATGCAGTCACAGAGATGGTAGATTGGAGGGGCGATGGTCAATGGATTTCGTGTCAAGATGGGTGCCATCTTGCTCACACATAGTTGCGGGGCCGATGGGACACGAGACCTTCTGGGATTGGTGATCTAAGTAGCCGATGAAAGAGATTTGGGATTGATCCTTGCTTGAGAAGCACCTCACTTAATTTTTCGACAACCCATCGAAAAGCACTTAAGACTTAGTAGGTATATGTCTATGACGCCCCTAAATTATTTGGCCGTGGCTTTTTCCCACCGAAAATGAATTGCATATACAACTCAGGAGGTCAATTTACCAGGGTGAAACGGGAAACCCGGGTGCCATGACCCGCAATTGCAGCGATGGCCTGCAACCTACTGGTGATGGCCTCCATATATCCAACCAAGTCCTGCATCTTCACCATTCACTTCCTCTATGACGCGTAGAGCATGGACTGCCACCGCGGGCAAGAGCATCGCTGCCACCAGTCCGACGTCCGACCGTGGCAACGGCAAAACCCCACATGTTGTGTGGCAAAACGCATCGAAAGTAAGTCATAGATTGATGTTGTTTTGTTCCACACTGAACGTATAGACATGTGGGATCTGGTCACTTCCACTGGTATACACCAATACATGGAATGGGCCATTGAAGTGACAAATACATGCGGTATCTGGTGGTCTATATACCAATTCATGGTTTGTGAGTCAGGGGCGGTCCAAAGACTGTCTAGCATGTCAGGAAGGCTTCGTGCCACTGAAGAAAGAAGGATTGAGGCTGCAAAATGAGGGCCGAAATGTAAACAAAACACGCAACTCAATATAACTCAATGAACATCTTTGGGTCCATCCAATTGGTTTGAGTTTCTTGTGATAGGACCTGATAGGACACAACGAAGCACTTGGCGAGGATTCACAAACAAATCTCGATGAGTTGATACTTCAAACATTAAACACATCGCACAAGTCCGGATGGCAAGAATACACTCTCCTGACACCCATCGCCATGCATAAAGTCTTTGTCCGGGCTGCCTGCTACAAAGGCGTCCGGCCTCAGCAAGCTTCACAGGCTGGGTTGGTTGTTCCATGTTGTTCCAAACCGCCAGGCCGTGAATCCCTCCTGTTTCAATGGCTGTACGAGTAACAGGCAAAACATTCTCCAGTCCTATGCAGTGTCCAGGCCTCAAACCCTACTCCCAGCACTGTTGCTTGAGAATCCACTCTCGTCCGGTCTTGATTCCATGATCTACGCCATAGAACACCAGCAGCACGTTTGAAGCGGACCCAGCAAAACACACACCAAACGACTTGCAGCCACAACGATTCCACCTTCCGTGCGGGTCAATGAGGGGTGGTTTCAGGATGTCTCAGGGCTCAATGTAGGTACCCCAGACCATCCATGTATGGAATACATAACTAGATTGACCCTTGAAACCACCCCAATGTAGGTAATAAGCCATGCATGGATAATCTGGGACGGTCTGAGTGTATAAAACATATATATTATATTATATTATATTATATTATTGCACATGGAGCGTCTGGGCAACTGAACACTGGCTTTCATCCATCTTGGCCACCGCACGGATGCAGGAACCCGTGCATTGAGTGCAGTGGATCTACCTGTGCCGAGCTAGTCAAACATCTATGACAGGAACCTGAAACAATTGAAACAATAACTCTGTTTCCCTTCTGATTGCCTCTCTCGGAGAACCTCTAGGATCTCCAGGGTCACTGCATGCCAAATCGACCGCCCGACTGACCGAACTTGGGCCATGATCATCTCAGCCACCGGTCACGCCGCTCCGCCACACGCCTCCGCTCGCGCCCCGCGTGGCCGCGCCACTCGCGCCAGCGGCAGCGGGGGGGCTGCTCGCTCGAGGCTCCTGGTGGCGATTGAAGGACCAGCAGATATTTTTTTTTTTGTGTGTGTTTGATTCTTTTTTCCATGGGTTTAGTCCCATCCAGTGAGTGGATGTTCTGGGCACCCTTATCCTCCAATAGGCACCCCTTTGTGACTCCTGGTATTAGTGCGTAGAACAAATACAGTACAGTGTTTAAAGGAAACTGAGGGTTGGTGGGCTGTTCAACCATGAAAATCAATGGTGCAGCCAGGAATCCTACGGCATTTGGTCTGGCGTTATAGCAAGTTCTCATCCTGCTCAACCCCATTTTTTTGATCGACGAATTCAGGCCTCATCAAGTGACAGTAAGTGAAACCAGGTCAAGAGTCTCGGAGTTGTCCCTTTCTTCAAACGGTCTGAATGCAACAGAGATGAGAAACATTGAGAAACACATCTGAAATACAAAACACATGCAACACATTGCAACACAACATCTTCCAGTACCACCCACGTTTTTTCTTTCAAGTCCACAGGGACTTTGTATGACGAGACAAGTCATTTGGTGGTTCAACCGTCACTCGACAACGGGTGCTGGGTCGGAATTCCTTGTTCTTCCCCACCCTGGCTTAGTGCCAAGAAATGTCCAAATCTACCCACGGCCCACCAAAAGAAGTTTAGAGTACAAAGTTCATTTGTGGTCATGTCCCAATTTTGGAGTCAAACACTTCAATTTCATTCAACGTCCCATTGTTTCGGGGTGTCAAACACTGGGGTCAAACCACTTTATTTTCGGTGCCTCTTTCTGCATTTGTTCCATCCGTTTCTCCCTTCGCTGGCCTTGTGCCTCTGTGGCGAGGTCGAAGCGGGCCGCTCGCGGCGGATGGGAGGCTCCTGGAGATGGACATCCCTTTGACTTCGTGAGTCCTTCGGTGTTTTCACATAACATGTTACTTTTCAATACTTTTCATGTGTTTTTTCCCACCAAACTGGAAGTTCAGTTGTTCTAGAGACTGTATTGTAAGACTTGCAAATATGTTGAACAAAAAGTCCAGGAAAAGGTATAGTACATGCTTTGACTCTTTGTTCCAATCAAGTACAGTGTTTGTATGTTATATCACAAGGAGTACTTGCATTGACGAAATGAGGAATACGTGCAAGCATGTCCTGTGGATTGAAGAGCATGCATGTCACTTTCCTGTAGATTGAACAATCCCTACCAGGGCCCACGGTTTGGGGTGGTTAATGGACACCCCCAATCACCTGTAAGGGATTCTAAGGGGCTATTATTAGACACCGCTTATATGGAGGCTCTGGTAGAAGTCCACTTCGACTATTTCTGGCACCAAAGGAAAGGAACGTCTTTTTCGGATTCATGATCTCAATGACCACCTTTCGACAAAAGAGAAGAACAGTTCAAGGGTGATCACCCAGGCTTCCAACCACCATGAATGGTTGAAGTCTTCGAGCTGAACCTCGACCTCATCGCGCCCGCTTCGCTGGATCGGTGCTCGGAACCATGGTGGTGAGATGATCGGGGGCCCACCGTGGTGGGCTGGGATCCCATTGGACACCCATTTGGATGGTCCTAGCGGACCGAGAAAAGCCGAGCGCGTAGGCGCATGCGCGCGCGGGCAGCGGCTGGGGATCTCTTTGGGATGATGTCTTCCGTGTTTGGTCTTCTGGATCTGAAAGGAGCCAAATGGGAGGTGTTTCACTTCTGCGACGAGACGTGGTGGATGACGAGACAAGGCGAGTACGCTTCGCCCAGCAGAATGGCCGCAGGGCAGGCATTGGGTTCGTGCCGAGTGGCTCGGCACCGTTCGGGGTTCGTGCTGATCCACGGCCACCCATGCATTTCCCAGCGGAGCGGACGGGATGGTGTGCCTTTCGACACGACCCCTCGCATCGCAGAGATTCGCAGAGCAGTACTGAATGAGGTTTACTTTAAGCTACAAAGAAACAGTGACATCAGTTGGAGTTCACCGCATCTAGTGCACATCGATCAGTTGGAGTTGACACTGGGGTGAACATGCAGGGTGAAATGCAAGTATACATCTGTATACTAAATACTATATGTACTCTATAGTTCTATTCCGGTGCCATGGAGTGTTAAGGAATGTTAAGGATTTTGCTTTGCATCTCCCTGAGTAAAAAGCATCTTCTGCTGTTTTCTTGACCGATCCCCACCCTCCATGCAACTGGAAGAGTTACAGTACAATGGAACACCCCATGTATCTAATGATAGTACTCTACTTCATTCAGTGATCGTTTTGAACACCCCAAACATCCCCAAACCATCCATGCGACGATCAATCTATGCACCCATTGGATCTATTCTGTTCTACCTCGCGGCCAGAGAAAAAGAATCCCAGGTCTCACGAACGTGGCACCGTCGACTGACTCTCTGATCAAGACGCAGTCTACCAAGACCCTCCTGTCGGGGTGTCTATTTATAATTATACGGGGCCGTGATTCGGGGTGTCCATGTCTACCACCCCTGGTATGGGCCCTGGTATGTTCATTGGGACCAAACACCTCCCGACTCACCGTCCCATCCCCGCCCCATCCGCCCAGATCCGCCCCAGCCCCTCCTGCATCACTGGTGCCACGGCCAAACGAGTCCTCGGTCAAAGCCGTCGTGACATCGGACCGACCGCCCAGGACCCAGGCGCGGCCGAAGGGTGAGTCACCACGAACCCTGTGAATGCCAAGGGCGTCTTCAGTTTGGGACATATGAAGAACGACCGTCAGATCATCACAACTTGGCTTTCTGTTTGAGAGGGAGCAACATGTTTTTATATATTTTAACTTCTTTGTGAAGTCGAAAGAAAGGCTGTGGGACCGGCACCAGGAGACCCAACGGTTGACCTACCGACGTAAGGTTGGTCGTTCGCTACATGATATGGTGAAGCTCCAGGTGTTCACCCATCCCCAGTAGCTCCGGGGGATCATCTGTCCAGTACTATAGTCCTATAGGCCTATAGGGTCCAGGTACCTCCGTACGTCGGATGGTCGTGGCTCGAAAGTGAGTTCGTACGAAACCAGCGAATGGTCGTTGCCGGGGGTCTGGCAGGACATCCGAGCAACGGATGGTGCTGGACCCTTGGGGGAGTGGTGCTGGACCCTTAGGGAGTGGTACTAATCCCCGTAGACGAAAGTTTGATGAGCCCAGTCCAGCGTAGCCAGTTTTATCCACGCAAGCAGCTAAGCTCAGCATGCATGCTGCATGAAATTGATATGTCAATACTCCAGGCCATCCATGTATGAACAGTTACATACATTTGTACCTCATTTATGACTTTATGACCCTAATGTCGGTTACTATTCCTTAAAGCCTTACATTGGAGTGTCTGGGGTTATTCAACGAAAGTCCCCACATGTCCGCAGGTGGGGACACTTCTGGAGTTGCAACATGTTGCAACGTTGGCATCCACAAAACCTGGACCAGTCAATGCGAATCATATGCGAATCTGCCTACAACAGGTGAGACCCGGGTGACAACAGGTGCTTAGAACCCCCCTGTGGTCGGGTCCAAACACAACCTGGCGAAAGGATGTGAAGGTATATATTTCGACGTCGATCTAATCTTAGCGACCTGCGCATGCCCCCTGTGGCTTTACCGTTTTCGCGGCGCGCCGCGTTTCACGTGGCTTGTTCCCACATCGCGTTCCAACGCGGTGTGAGAAGAGTCTGTACAACCTGCACGGATGTCCGTACGGACCAGCAACACCTTAGGTGATGCTGGTGATCTGTCGAAGAGAAGATTTTCAATTTTTTTGGAGGCCTAGTAGGGCCTTGCCAAAGTCCGGTAGTGTCCTGTCTCAACGGATTATCAAGTAGACTCCAAGGGGTTCGTCCGGTGAAGTGTGGGGTCTTTTTCATCCTCCAACGAGGATGAAGGCATGCTCACGCCTGCTCGGCCCCAAAAAGTGTTGGCACAATTGGTGGTGCCCTAGGGTTCTCCCCCACTGGCCTATCTTCATGAATCTCGCCAGGGAGCTCAACTGAAAGTTCCTCAGGCAATCCGTCGGGTGCCTCAGGGTCTGCCATCCTCTCCAGTTCTTTGGGCAAAGGCGGTTCTTCAGCAACCGCCTCCCTTCCCCCTTCCGTTCGCTGGCCACAAGCCGAAGCATCCCTTGAAGGCTGAGTTGGGCCGAATGATGTACTTGCTTCAAAGGTTGGGCGGTTGCCTTCGGCCGTCGCCCCCTCCACTGCTTCCGCTCCTTGGTTCTCGCCGTCGCCATCACCCTTTCTGACCTCTGCAAGAACCGAATGGAGTCTGTCACCTGCAATGGTCCCTCTCACGCCAAGGCCATGAGACGAAGAGCTTTGCGGCGCTTTGAAGAAGGATTTGCTCTCTCTTCCCGTCTGCAGACGGGTCCTGTCGACGGACGAGCTCCGGTCCGGCTCAGCTGTAGTCGGGACGACGGAGGTGGCTGGATCATCGATGGGTGGCAAGTCTTCGGAAGAGATGAAGGCCAGGTCAAAGTGAATGTAACATCCTTGCGTGAGACCTCGCACACTAATCAGCAGGGAAATGAAGGCAGTCCAATAGCCGCTATATTGTTCGCCCATGTAAAAGAGGGTGTAGATCCGCAACATGTATGCCTAGGTCAGCCAGTGTGCCAAACTGCAGGTTGTTATGGCCAGTTCAAATGAAGCATGTCAATTGTAAAAGTTACAGTAAGTGAATGGGCCAATGGGGATGTGCACTTGGCATCAAAGTGCTTCAATCACTATGTTGCAAACACAAACAACCGGTTCTTTTGCGCGCCTGAACACTTCCAATGTAACGATGGTCCAGTATTGTAAAGAAAAAACAAAGAAAACACGGACGCACAATGTAACCCGGGTATGACCCTACTTGGCGCGTGTGGGGTCAAAAGGTCTAAAGAAATGCCGACTCAATGGTCCACCCACAGAACGCCCCGAGTATGCGATGACCGGACCAACACGACCCCAATGAAATGTTCACGCCAACAAGCAGGATTTTGCCCACGAACGCCAGAAAAACCGGAGAATCGATACCAAAGGGTGCAGGAACTTGGCATCGGATGATAAGCTTGTACATATCACCAAAGAATGTGGACATCCACACTCTTAGCGCGCCGAATAACGGCGGCATCACACGACACGCGGCGGTGTGTGTTCACTTCCACGGTCGTGGCACCAGACCGAACCGGTTGACCAAGGTCAACCTACCAAGGACCATCCCCGTCTGGCTCAAGCCCTCAACAAGTGGATGAGCTTTGGACGAAGAGCCCAGACCAACCGAATGGGACTGGCATATGTGTCCCATCTTCGCCCCTGAAGTCAACCATCCCAATGTCATCTGCCATCATCTGTCATTATTTTGGAGTGCCTGGGTAGGGATGGCGGAAACGTTTTCAATTGGTGGAACCGGACAACCCTGTGAATTCTTCGACTCACACTGTCCAGCGTTGGAACAGAACTGGGCAATGCATATCATATATAATATTATATAAATACTAATATTGGCGAGTCCTGTATGCCATGATATATATATATACTTTTTGGAACAATAGTGGGGTCAGGTTGGTACCATACATATGGCTATGCACATGAGGGTATGCCCTTGATTTACCAACCAACCAACCAACCCGACATATATATTGGATATCTATATGAGTGCGGCCAGAAACCTAATCGTCCCTGTCGTGTTGTTGTGGTACCGAACGGTGAACACCTCACGAACCTCGTGTCGTCGTCGTCTCGCACCACGTCGTCGTCTCCCATGGGCTTTCAGCGCTACGTACGAAGACCGACGTGGGTTCTCCGTGGGTTCTCCAAGATGCCAGGGTGGCTTCTCCACTCTTCTCACTCTGCACCAGGGATAACACATGGTCTGTTCGCAGATTGGCCTTCAATGAGTGGACGGCCTCCCGGATTGGGTGGAAGAGCCCCCCGCCGGAGCAGCTGTTCCAGGACGAAGCGAAGAAGCAAGCAGATTTGGATGACTGCAAAGCCGTAGTGATAGCCTTGCCCAATTCTGTAAGTAAGGAACTGGACCCTGAAACCAATCTATCTTTGCAGGTCTATGAATTATAGTGTCTGCTATTTTGCGAGGATGCAAAGATGGCGTTTTGGGAGATTCTCGTCTGGACATCTTGCAGTTACCGCCACTTTTGGAAGAATGCGTGCTGAAAGAATCTAAAAGGTTTTCTCTGAGAGTCTTTACCAGTGAAACCAGGACACTTTGGTAGTATAGGACGATCATCTTGATGTCGACCACGAAGTCGGCCACGCAAAAGCCGAGATCCACGATGATTCCCAGGCGATTCAAGCACCATGCCTCGATGTAGCCATTGGATGCGAGCTCCGCTTGGAGGACCAATTCTTCGGTTCGCACCCCTTCTTGAAGTTCCACATCCGCTGGCACGGCCAACGGATTTCCAAGGCAGCAGCCGAAGAGGCTGAAGAACACCAGCCACCAGAAGGGGCCAAAGACCGCCACAGCCATTAAGGCGAATTGAAGGCAAAAGATCGGATCGTTCATGAAGCTGGCGAACCACAGATCTTCGGCCTGCCGGTCGACCGAACCGGGCTGCTGTGTACCGCGACGGGGATGGTTGTGTGCTCTGAGGCTCAGAGGTGGAGATGAACATTGGTGGACTGGTCAGCACTGGGTCCATGACTCCGCTTAACACAACAAAACAGGAACACAATTTGTGTACACAAGAACATCATTGATGCTATTTGAAACACATTATACATAAGCTGAAGTTGTTTATGAATGTAAGACCAACACCTGAATTTAAGCAGTGTCTATGGTATTTTTACGCAAACTGCTATTAAATATTCAATTGAGGCATGTTCACCAGTACAGCAGAAGGGGAATTCGGGAAAAACATGATATATGAACACATATATGACGAACAAATTGTTCACCTTTTCAAAGAAAATGCCCAACATATTGTTTCAAGGCAATTGATGTGTATATATATATAACATTATATAACATGATGTAACAGGTACAGTAGGGGGTGGATATTGGAAGACTGCTCGGTGCCCCAAGTGGCAAAACCCAAACATTCTCCTATCACACCAACCGGAACAATGACCTACGTTGGGGTCATGTTCATGGGATCAATGTACGTGTATAAGTGGTATCTGCATTTCTATCAGTCATGGAGCGTTTGGGATTTCTGATTGGAACCTACCACTTTGGCACCCATCTGGACCTTGGACCTCCGACTCCGCGGATTCTGACCCGGTCGCCCTGTCTCCGGACCCCGCGTCTCCCGGCCAGCAGATCGTTCAACTGCGGTCTCCCTCCGGCGCGGCGCATGGCCATATCCACCGCCTCGACGACGCATCCGTTGGACCTGGCGACGGCGGGCGAGGCGTGCGAGGCGCCGTCGCTTCCACCGTGGTGACGCGGGGTCCGTTGGACCGGCCGAGTTAGGTGCTATGGAGTTCACCGAAGAAGCGTGGTTGAAGGATTTTAAGACTAAACCAGGTCAACCATGTTTCAATGGTTTTGGATGCGAACATGAACCCCCCACCCAGGCAGGATCTATGGAAGAGCTTCACACACACAAATTCTGTTTACATGTGAAATCCGTGGAAATCTCTGGCCTGTACCATGGCGCGCAGTGCTGGCATTGACAAACATAAAACTTCTCATCGTCGTTCAACACGACTGCCAGCCATTCCGGCAAGGTTGTCATGCGGCCATGAACCTCGCAGAACTCGAATAAAACGGACTCCCAAGTCGTTTTGGGCGTTCCAGCACTGCTCTGGCAATAGCTGATGTCACTTAGAACCATCTGACATTCGTAGGAAAAATGCACCTGGGGCCATGAGCCACAAACTTTCAAAGAACTCTTTTGCTCGGTCCAGACGATGAGATTCTCTGGCCGTAGCACCGACGACTCAGTGTGACACTCCAGCTGCGTACCATTGAGACTCATACAATGAGAGCCATGGAAGGAAACATTCTGCATGATTGAGGCCACATCTTGGCTTCTTTGAGTGCCGCACTCCAAGCCCAAGTCATTCCAAATGCGTCCTCGGAGCTGAGATGACCACAGGTCCGGATCGTGGCAGTGCTCGAACTGGCGGATGGCTGGACACCATGGATTGGATTCCACGGAACACACGTGGAGATCAGACTGCAGCTGGATGTCGTCATACTCGGCCCAGGGATAGTTATTGGCTCGACATCCATAATATCCCTCAAAATCAAAGAGAAACACAAAGTCGAGAAACAGGCCTCCCAGCATAGCTGCACAGCCCAAGCGAATCGCCACGGAAAAAGAAAAGAACATGCGGCTGGAGCGCTGATTCTCTCCCAATCCGAACCTGGAGTAGTTTTTGGGCCGCAGCAAGTGGGCCGGCTGGAAGAAGACATCCAAGACACTGCCCGCTCGCCAGCTGGATAAGACGAACATGAGGAACAAAGCTGCCATGGTGAAGGATGGGCTGGTAATCAAGTGGAGTGCCTTGGATTTGCTTCAGAATCCGGGGAAAATATACTATATTCCCCAGAAGAAGAGCATTCACATGGATTCACCAATAGGAAAAATCAACATACTCCTACGGCACTGATGCCAGGTGCTGGCACTGAACCCACGGCCATGACCTCTGAGAATGAGCATGCCCAAACGAGCGCCTGTCTAGTCCATTGTCCCCGCAAAGCACGACGCGTCGCTTCCAAGCGAATGGATCGCCGAAAGGACGACGGGGAACGACGGGGTGGGTCGCCCTCCATGGAGAAACGGCCACCTGTCGGAAAGAACGAAGGAACGAGATCGAGCCCAAAGGGTGACGGAATTCATGAGCAGCTTCTATGAGCAGCTGTTTTCTTTATCTTTTGAAAAACATCGGCAGTTTGTGTGCCAAGTCTTGGTGACAAACAAACTCATCGACTCTACAAATATCTGCAGATGTCTGCAAGTGCAAAGCCAAGCTCATTCTGACAGTCACTGGTTCGGAAGCTCTGATGCCCCGGCTGGACTAGCGGAGGTGTGTCCATTTCTCGAGAATCTCGAGACATAGCACCTGCAGCATGCCAAGAAGATCAAGAAGCCAAAGAGACCAAACTCGTCATACGCATCTCGATTGAGAAGACTAGCTTCGTGAGGCTGGCTCCACTGACTTTCCCACAGCTTTTGACCTCTGACTGGTAGAGTTTCAACTTATTAACTAAAGCCTATATTAGACATTATTAGACTAGGTGCTAGTGCCACAATTGGGGTCATCCAAGTCAGGCTGTGGGAACCACAACTCCCTGAGTCAGCTGGCTCTTCAGGCGCCAAACTGAGTTCTCCACCGCACAACGACGCTTCCATCCTGTCACACACGGTGTTTCCCGTTTCACCGTTGACCGGGTGACCCCTGGGGTGTCATGCCGTGGGTCGCTGTCAGGAAAACCACCGACAACACACCACTGGGTGGGAGGAACCGTGTGTGAAACACCATCGAGTCGGCGAGTCCAGTCCCCATCCCTAAGGCCCTGGGCGGGCACGGGACGGCACGACCAAACAGGTCCGTTCGGACGGAGGGCTGGCTGCAGCTTCTGTGCACTCCGCCGCCTGGCGCGGTCCGAACGTCCCCGGGGGGGCGTCTGGGGGAAACGAGTTTGAGACCATGTCAAGACCGGTCAGACCATGTACGAAAATTGACCCCATGAATATATGACCCATCCATGTAAGTCCACGGAGATGCAGCTACACAACCCTAGCCAGACCATCAATGTGTGGAACAGGTACCTACATTGGGGTCATGTTCATGGGGTCAACAATGTAAAGAACATCCCCTGGACATACAGGGCGGGGGTCTTGACAGTAATTTTATAGATATGAAATGGTGGTGGTCACCCCCTAGGGGGGGTCTCTATAAAATCATTCAACCTCAGGTCACCATGTGCCTGAGCAGTGACCAGAAAACACTAAAAACAAGGCACGGAACATCTGCATGATTTAGGAGACCACTATGACTATGTCATATCCTCTTTCACAGATTGAGAAGAAATTTGGTTAACTCTTGACATATCTGGTTTGAACCATGCATTGTGTGGCCCACGTGACGTGTACGTTTCTTATCGTTTCTTGGATACAAGCAGCTTTCCTCTATAAAATCCAACCCCCACGCCCCCCTGGGCAGGGACCATAAAACGTTTTGTGGGATACCATGACCCCTGTGATTTTATAGAGGATATGTCCAGGAGCATTAAAGAACTGTATTCGAATTCCATATACATGGAGTGTATGGGCTACAAAAACAGGCACTTGCACTCATTTTCCGAGGGACGAACAGATCCTGAATAGGACCATGTCCTCAAACCAACACCACTCCAATCCCAAATGTGCCCAAACAGACGTCTCGGGGTTCTTCTCCCTAGTTGCACAGATCCCAAAAGATAACACCAACCTAAACCATCCATGGATCCGGGGTCATTTTCATGGGGTAAGGTATTACAAACAACAACACACAGTCCCATGGAGTTCATATTCCAGTCCCATGGAGTCTTTGCACAATGCCCCCACAGCTGGAAGTCTCCGCTTTCGCCACAGACTTCCATCGCGAACCGGTCCTCCATGGTTCGCGGAGCCATGGGAGGTTCAATGTCGGAGGAAAGGCTCCTGCGTCCCGAGCGAGGTCGGAGGGAACACCAAGAGAGGTTTCTTCACAGCCCGTCTGGTCGCCCATCCCATGTGTACCACAACCTCTCTGGGCATCTCAGCATCCAAATGCTCCATGCCAGTCTCCCAAGTCCACAGCCAGACTGGCACTGCTTATTATGTTGCTTCCAGGACAATGGACACGATCTCTATCTCAGTTCTGCAAGGCTTCAAGACTGAACAAGACCTTGAAAAAGCCTTCTCCGATTCTGCTTGTCCCCTTTGTGCACGTGGCGCATCTAGTTCTCATAGAAGAAACAACGGACGTGGCGCCTCTTAGGGCCAAGCAGGAACTGGAGAATCTGCTCGGCCATGCGATCCACGGGGGAAGAAAATCGTCACAGGTCGGACCAAACGAATGGGACTGGCCGTCACTCCAGATCAGTTACCACGATGTCGCTGGGAGTCACCAGTGGTGAACAGAACACTAAAACCATAGACTATCATAGACCTAGAATCCCTGGTTCCTTGACCCGGGGTCGGGCCGGCATCTATAATTCCAATGCCATTTGTCAGGAAAACTCGAATCCTTATGATACCCCCGGCTCTTCATTCAGTCGTCCTGCATGGCTTGGTGTCATGATTGAACTTCTGAAGGACCTTCTGCATCCCGGGCCTCAAAAAGCGCTCTCGAGCGCCACGGCGAAAAACCCACAGAACGGGCCGAAGAGGACGACGTCACCCGTCGGGCAAACCCTGAAACCAGGCTGGGCTTGACGGAGACCAGTCGAAATTGACTCCCACTTCCTCAATTGCTAAGTCTCACTACAGCCATCACCTGCATCTGGGAGTCCTCCAAAAACTGGTACACGTGGGGATTGTTCAACCCATTTGTCAGTGTGATTCTTTGGCTGGTATTTCCAACACCAGGTGTCTCCAAGAAGGTGAGAGACTTCTCAGAAAACTTTGCATGGAAGAATGGAAGACTGCGCTCTGTAGCTTCGAACACCTTCCATGCTCCCTTTGAACAGCAGAACTGCTGAAGGAAAACCTCTCCGCACAACATGAATGAGATCCAGAATGTCCTACGATGCAGAACATTTTGTATTCTGATGAATTCTGTCTTCTGATGAATTCTGCGCTTTCAAGCGTAATACCAAAGCAAACCCACCACCCGGAGCCTCCCCTGTCCCCGGGAAGTTCCAGGCGCTCCGGACATGATGGACGCCAGCTCTTCCGTGTAGCCTTCGGACGCAAAGACCGAGCACCGGCGCTACACTTGGAAGGAAGAACACACCACGCGGGATTGGAAACAACCATTGCTATTTACAGTGCTTTCTTCTGAACTTTGTGGGAAACTTTTCCAACTGTTTGCCCGTTTGGTTTCCTGGCCCACCATTGATTTTCCATAACCTTTGCTGAACAACCATTGTTTTACGAAGGGTTCTACACTTCAAGGCCAGGTCAACAATTAATAAACAAACTGATTTTGGAAACCCGTGTTTGGAGCGTACAACACGATCCAAAGGACATTGTGGATGCCTTGATGAACTTCATTGCATGGAATGCGTGAACCTGGCATGCCTGTCACTTGGCCCAAATTCGAAGTGTTCAAACATGAAAAAGAACCCCTTAATATCTCCACTTGCTTCAGGAACCAAGAATCGCCAATTCCCTGTTCCGGCAATTCACCCAGCAGGCAAAATCACCATCACCTCAAGCAAAACCAAATCTCAAAAAAACAAAACATCTGGAGGTGGGATAGAATGCAGGCACTGTGGTTGACCCCCGGTCCAATGAACAGAGTGTCAACCTCCCATGGTTTGGTAGGGGAGGCGCTGCCCGGGCACCCCAGCGGCTGAGCATGGCCCGGCTGAGCTCCAAGTCCCGACGAAGGCGCAAGTTTTCCTGGCTGAGGTTGGTGCCCCATGAAGATCCAGAAGTATAGTAGTGCAAAATTGATATATTATTTTTTGTTTGTAAATATGGTGGTTGATCAATATTATTTCATCCTGGAATGGCCATTCTTCGCGGAAAAAAATATCTTTCGCGGATCTTTCGCGGCCTCATCGTAAAGCATGCTCCTACAACCATGTCTAGCTAACATGAGCCGGGACATGTCATAGTATCACAAAATAGAGACAGACATCTTGCAGCATGACCCCAGTAGAAGGTTGAACGTTTCCACAGCTACTCAGGGTCACTTGCAGCATTTGTGGCGCAACTCAACCGAATGCTCGTGCCAGCTACTACCACCAGAGGGTGATGCAGCTTGGGAAATCAAGCTGGGAACCTGGACTTTAGCGGCACATTCGCGAAACTTTCGCGGATCTTTCGCGAAATTTCACTGGCGCTTTCCCCGGGAAGCCGTATGCAAACATCTGCACAGCCCGTCAGAGCAGCTGCAGGTCGTCGCCTCACTGTCAGGGCTGCGCCTACTCAGGTTGCTAGTCTATGACAGTGGGGACAGGAATCGGAGAATCCTTTACGCACTGCCAGGGCTGGGCACGGACATGTTGAGGCTTGAGATCGTTAGTCTGTGACATATGGGGACACTTCCGCCCACCGGCTCTGCCGGAGGATTGCCTTGTATTTCTATTCTTTGTCAATCCCTTAGAGAGGAAAACATGTGAAAGCGATGACCTTCGATAAATCTTTCGCGGAAAAAAGATACTTTCGCGAACCTCATCGCGAATCTTTCGCGGATGTTTCGGCTGTTTTATATAAAACTCCTTACACGGGGTTTTCGATCAACTCCCATATATGTATGCCACATTTTTGACGCATTATTTTAAATACTAAGTATTTTAGATTACAAAAAAACAAACTTACCAATTTATTTGTTTTGGAGCTAGGGTATGATCCAGATACGTCACCCAGAATGGATGGTGCCTTGGAGTATAATGAGGCGTTGTTGGTTCAACATGGTTCAACTGTAACTACGGGTGATGGGGTCCCTGACAGCTGGTGAAAACTCTAGATTGTATCCACGCCGCCGTTTTTTCGTATTCCTAAGCGGCTAGCAGAAAATGACGAGCTCAAACCCGCCGTGCGCCGATCGAGCAATGGAACTGAAGCATCTGGCAAAATGGTGCCTGGCTTCGTACCCGAATTGAAGCAGGGACAAGGTCTCCAAAAACTCATACGCCTCATCCAAGTTGAAAGCTTGCTCAAACCAAAGGCGGAGAGCCGCCTTGTTTTTTTGCGGCACCGCTGTTGCTTTCAACTTGTGGGAAATCTACACTGCACCGGTAAAAGAACTCTGTAATGGTGAAGCTTTGCAAGCAAATGCTTTTGGTCTGTACCTGCGCATCCGGCATAACACACTCAGCTGCCCTTGCTGCCAATCTCTGAGCTGTCTTGTCCGCTTCTGCCTAGGCTGTCGATGGCATCATCTGCTGCTTCGAAGAGTAATTCCACTGGCTGTTAAAGGTGGGACTTGCCCCGCTGAGCAGGATCAAGGCCAAAGGAGATGGTTTCTGCGATCAAGCAAAAGCGGTCGCCGTAGTGGTCGCCGTCTTGGCCTTTGCCATGGGCGCCATCGATGGTCGATGCTGGGGTGGTTCTGCAGGGCCTCTGTGCACCGGGGAGGCTTCCGACCTCGAGCGTGAACGCCGGCGTCGGGCGGGCCGCTCCTCAACTCCCCAGCAGATCCATTGCTTAGTGCGGGCGTGGCTCCCAAGAAGAACATGGTGGTGGCGTGGACCCGTTGGCGCGTTGCAGTGGCAATGGGCAACAGCAAGTCGTAGATAGTCTTCCGGAGATGGTCTGCCGGGTGATGAAATTAGTTGTCCTGGACAACATGAGCGGTACGAAAACATCATCTTCATTGGGAGGCGGCTTGGTCATATGTGCAAATATTGAATTCTATTGGACTGCTCACTTTTGTCACATTTACGCGTGTTACGTGGAATAAAAATCCCGCAGGCTGTGTCCAGGCCAAAAACGCGTACCGCGGATATATACTATATAAGGCACGAAAATCACCAATGTGGTGGGACGTTGAAAAGGCAACGAAACCAACGAATTGGCTGTCGCAATCCGATGACTGCAGTGGCTGCATGCCAAAGGCAAGACTGGCTCTCATGGGGAAGACGGCCAACAAGCTGCCCTTGGCCTTGGACGCGCGCTGCATGTGCAAGCAGCCAGCCAGTCAGAACAGAAATGCGACGCAGTGGGATGCCAAAGACTTGAAAGACTCTTGGGTGAAACGCGGTTGACACTTTGCAAAGAGGACCACCAACAAGCTGGCCTGTTGCTTGAGCTGTGACTGGAAAAGAGACGCCAGCGCGCACATGGCGCACGAGGTGGCCTGAGCTTTTTGTGCAATTGAAATCGACGTGGAAGTTGGCTAACGCCCTCTCAGTAGCTTGAGTTCAGGAGTCAGTTTCAATCATCTCAGACTCTGCTGGGTCTTGAATCTTGAAGCAGGTAATTAGCTGCCCTAGTTTGTGAAAGCGACAAAGAAAACTTCATTGGATGTGCGCTATATGTAGGGCGCTTGCCTCTTGCGCCTTGTCAGCCACGCGGCACTTATCGCCAAGTGCTTGCGGTCTGGTCAAGTTGCGTACGTCAGCACATTCTTGCATGTCAAGCTGAGCAAACCAGCAGCTTTAATGGCGAAAACAATGGCCGAGAGGACTAGACTGCGCATTGACTGACTCCGCAACCCCTGTTGGGAACCCGTGCAATATGTCCTTATTGCGTTGCAAGCTGGGCAAGCAAGTCGTCTTGCACCACTCACCACGATGGCCCCTGCTGCGGAAAGTTTCTTCCGGGACTATGGTTTGGAAGGAAAGCAGTGAAATGGGACAAGCTTTCAGTGCCAATAATAATCTCCAGCATGTCAAAGATGAACCAGACTCTGAGACAGCTAGCAGGTAGCCTGCGGTCTGGGCAGAGCTCCTGAGGCGGCAAAACGACAGTGGGCTAGCAATCTGATGCAGTCAGAAGTTGGTTGCTTGGCTTGCGGGGCGCACTGCTATACTGCGCAGAGAGAACAAACATCGTCGCGGACTAACAAAAACGGTCTAGATGTGCTCATGACCGACTCCTAGCCTGCAAAACCAATGTCTCAAGGTCCATAATTTAGTGCTTGAGAGGTCTAGAGGTCTGAGACCCAGGTCTCTACATCCAGAGAGATCTAGATGTCTAGAGTTCTTCTAAAGTGAGATTGATCGAGGTCTAGAGGTCTAAGGTGTAGAAGTCTTAGATCCAAAAAAGTCTTGAATATTAGTCTTGAGATTGAAACGTAGGTCTTGAGATCCAGAAATATCAAAGCCTCTTGGTCTCAACACTCAGATCAAATAGGAACGAACCTGCTGCCGAGATCAGCCGTTGGCCCTTCCCCTGGGCATGAGCTTCTTGCAAGGACAGATCTTGGATGGAGGACGCCGCGAGCTCAGCAAAGTAGTCAGATCTCAAGATTGGTCTGAGTCCACGCAGCCGCTAATGAACACAGCTCCGCAGAAAAAGTGACGATTCACACAACATCAGAGCGTGCCGAAGACCACCACCAAGTCCAAAGTGCTGTGCCTGCCACAAAATCTGCACATCGAAGTAAAGCCGCTCCGATCTCCTGCACTTCGTTGGACCACCAAAACACGAGGTTTCCCTTGCGCCTGCCGCGAAGAGTGACCACCAAGTCCGAAAATGCGCAGGGCACCACAACGAGAGCGCAGTCGAGGAAAGCAACCTCTCGGGCCCACCAGTTTCTGCGAGCCTGCGCAGTCGAAATGCACTTAAAGATTTCGAGGTTAATGAATGTACCGTAAATAGCGCATCATGCCTCAGACCAAACAACACTTGATGTGGAATGTATGCCGCCAATGAAAACGAGGTCAACCACCCCAATCTAGGAAAATAGTCTAGTCCCATGCCATAACACATGGAGTGTTCCGGTGTCTTACACTCAAAATATGATATGTATATACCAAAACACACTATACTAGGACCAAAATGATGTCAATCGGCCAATTCCGGAACAACCTCTCCCTCATTCGCCTCGCCTCCCGCAGTTGGGGCTCCGGCTCGGTCTGGGGCGGACGTGGCGATGTGGAGACCCAACTCAGGTCAAGCAGACTGGAATGAGAATAATATTTGGATTTGCTTGAGGATCCGGGAAAGAATAGTATATATGTTACCTAGGTTATGGCATTCACCCATTTGGATAAAACATGAACTGAGCATCCTAAGCGAGTGTCCCATGTTCAAGAAATGACCCATGCATCAAAGGATTCCTGTTGCATGCATGGGACTCTTGCAACTGAAGTTCTATCAATGCAAAACCACCGTTTTTCTTTCACCAAACACCCTCTCACACCAACGAACTTGAACCTTCAAGCTCATATCTTAAGACTTAGCGACCCCACCCCCCCAAAAAAAAGATAGCACCTGCCAGGGGGGACCATGGATGGCCCCAAGGACTCAAGGACTCATCTTCCTATGAAAGATCATATGGCTGTGGTTCATGGCAATCATGGCACCACACGGAGCCTTAAATCCTGGCAGGGGCCCCCCGGTGCCACATGACCCACAAGCCCTATTCCTGGTGGAGCTTTTTCCCGGTTTTCAGGGCCGCGTGGGTCCCGCCGCGCGTGTCGCGTGGTACGGGGCGCCCCACCAAATGCCCGGCGCGGAGAAGCTGCACCTGGACTGGTCGCTCCCCTCACCTAGCCTTGGAAAGTTCACCTTAAGGACGGCGGACAATCCCAAACCATGTGTGGGACTGGAAGAGTTGAGCTTTTTGTCATGTAGTCCCCGTGTTTTCTCTTCCAGTCCGCATGATCTGAACAGGGTCTGTTGGTGTTTTCAGAGACAGCGACCCATCCCGCGGAAGCTGTTGTCGATTCCACTCCCAGGCTGACCCATCCCACTACACCACGGGCGATCCCCTTTTTCGAGCATGCCGTCCCTTGTCGGTTGGGAGAAGCGTTCCCGTGGTGACCCAAAGGACCCAATGGTCCTCTCTCCCAACTTAGGCTTTCAAAGCACCATTGTACTGCTTCTCACCAACTTTCTAAATGTCCAGGACAGCCGTCGTCAGCAAATGTCGATTTCAGAAACCACACATCAAACGATGCCAAACACTTTTAAGTATATGGGATATATAATGATATATATCACTACATGAACCCCGTTTCAGCCACCTCGATCTAGGAATATACAACCATCCTGGACCACTGAAGTAGATAGAATCAAAGTATCATAAATGATCCACGCTGTATATGATGGGATTTCCCGAGATTTTATCTACTCCTATAGGAAATCAATGTGCCAAGTCCCATGGAGTGCCAGGTCTGCCACGAGTCAGATCCTTGACGACGAGTCAGCTCCGCCGCTCCGCCTGCTGTCGGAGGATATCAATCTGCTGGGACTGCGCCTCGATCGGAAGGACTGGTTGAACTGGAACGACCCACCAGGGACCTGCAGCCACCTACCAAGGTCTTCTTCTTCTTCTTCTTCTTCGGTTTTGACACGTGTTTACGGTTGATGTACTGCTTGCATCTGTCAGACAACCTGTTTCAAGATGTTCGGCCCACACTCACACCATCTCGCAAATTCATTTGAACGGAGTGCATATATTGTAGTTATATAGGTCGAAAAAGGTTGAAGGGAGGGGAGTGTACTTAGTATCAAGTGTCATCACCTCTGTGACTCACGATGCTTTGACATGTGACACTCAATCCCTGTCACTTGCGCTACTGCACAGCAGACGGGCGTCCAATAATATAGTGGCCCCCCCCAAGATCGAGGCCCTGTCTGGGACTGCTTTTGCCACGGATGGGTGGTTTTCATGAGGTCAAATCCATTCAACACTTGTTTGGACTCTTCCAGTCCGAATTCGTCGAGCTCTTTCACGCGCCAAAACCATGGACACCGCTGATGTTTCTACCGACACGATTCTCCGAAAGCGGAAGACAATTGACACCACGTGCAAAGAGGTTCGGTGCCTCCAACTCGGTGTAAAGAGTCTGGTTCTCCTGACGAACGATGCAGCCGTGACGCAGCGGGAACAGCAGCCGAAACGCAGCAGCTGTGGGAAGCAGCGCCGCGCCGGAATCCGAGGAGAACCAAACGACAGCGATCCCCTTGGAAGGTGGACCCATTGTTCACTGGAAGATATGCCAGTTCCATTGCTGTCCAGGAACCTGGAAGAATATCGAAGATTCTCCAGGTTAGGGGATTTCACCAGTTCGGGAAAAAAGAAAACCATGAGCAAAACCAGGTATGCCAGTCCCAGGATTGTGTCTTTTCAACCACCCCAAGTGGTCGAAATGCCAGTCCCATGGAGTTTTTGGGTTTGGTACGCCAGACCATCCCAGGATGGCGAAGAGTATCTTTTTTTTGTTAAATGATGTTTATCCCCATGAAAAGGACCCCATCCATGGTGGAGTAGCTCTTCAATACTTATTCCATATACATGGATGATCTGGGAGTCTCCGATGGGAAAATCAGTCCAGTACCACCCTCGGCGACCTGGGAAGAGAACAACATGTGCCAGAGTGATGGCTGGACTTCAGAGCGGAGGACACAAACTCCGCTTCACCGGTATCACTTCTTTGCTTCAATGGTGTTCCATGGTCTTCCAAACTATATCCCACACATTCCCACACACTCCATGGGAGTGATATATATATATATTATATACATACAATATATGCCTACGTTGACCCCAGGTCAACCGTCCCAATTTAGGTGCATATGCCAGTCCCATGGAGTGTCATGGTATAAGAACGACTGTTTGGACAAACCCGATTTTGCTAGATGAGTTTCCCATCAACTGCTCCACTGTGGAATCCACGTTTCATGACCCATACACATACGAAGGTGAGGCCCTAGATGACACCCAAACACTCGACGTTTGCAGAAGTGAGTTGGTGTGGCGTGTCTGGGGGTTCACGGCACATCTTCCATTTAAATGGAGTGTCTGGGGGTACGCTATGTGCGCTCGAGGGATGTGTGGTGACGTGATAAAATACCATCGAAGCGTGATGACTTGCAGGCTGCTACAGGCTGCTAGGCTGTCCATTGACCACTCCAATGTACGTAAATATTCCATACGTGACGTGGACCATGGAGCGAGTGTCTGGACACGTGGACCATCAGCATCTCATCCGCACTGCGACACGGCTGGGTCATCTGCTCACATCCCCAAATGCGAACTGTCTGGGACTGGAATAGTTATACCTAGGGATCCAGTGGTACCTCCTCAGGTTCGGTACGACCCTCCAAACACCTTCTGAGAAGCTAGGTACGACTGGATCCCTACAAATGGTTGGGTCATGTTGATGGGGGTCAATGTAAGACATCTAAGTAACTATTCCCATGGACGGTCGGGGAGCTGGTCTTCCTTGGCTCCATCTCCCCCCCTCTCCTCAAAAAGCCTAGGTCCTGTCTGGCGAGTGCGCTCTAGCCTGGGTGCCGTTGCTCGCTTCTGCCAACACTTCCACCGGCACCAAGAAAAAAACCTCCCGCAAATGAAAGACGCGTGGTGGAAGACCCTTTGCTGAATACCAACCCAGTGGGTTCTGGGTTCCATGATGTTCCGTGTTCATCTGCAGGGGGGAGTATGCCACGGCAGTCCAAGTTCCCTCACGACCCATCACGCCGTTTCCCAACCGTCGTCTCCGATCGGCAGACGTGCCCACCATCTAGAGATGAGTCATGGTGAAACAGTGCTGTGGCCTGTGGTCCTGTGACCACTGAAACTCGTGTAATTCATGTGTACGATCTTGATTCATAAATAAACCCCCTCATATATGAAGAGATTGTTCAATCCAAACAGGGAGGTTATCAATCAAGATCGGGCATTAGTCAACTCACCGCAGGGTACCGACAGGGTATGACCACCCACAGAAACGTTGAGGCAAAGGCACCTGGGTACATAGTATAGTCGTATAGTGCTCCTCACTATAATATATAGAAACGGTTTCCAATAGTCCGTTTAGTGGAGATCAACTTTTAATGTCTATTTGGACATCTAAGTGCCGAGATCTGCCAATGTATCTCTCTTCGACGATCAAAACAGGCTGCAGATGTTGCCGACTCGACCATGTCGATCGGAGCCCATCTGATCGAAGGGGGTCGGTCAACTAATGTAGACTCTTGATTCATAAACCCTTCCATTTCATTTGAATTGGAAGTCCTCTTCACATGGGGGGTTTTATGGTCCTCAAGAGTCTACATCACACCATTTCACAGCCACATTTCACCTGAACCTTAGGACTCCCTTTGATATTGAATTGAACACACCGTCATAGCAAGATATTACCAGGAATAGGACCTCCCCATACTATGTCCATCCCCAAAAATGCCAGATCCGGGAGAGACAGCATCCGCGGGTGGCATGCCCTTCTCATCTGCCCTTCCGGTCGACCGCTAGGGCTGCCGCTGATCGATCCGCGCACCCAGTGCCGCCAGCTTCGCCTGGGCTTCGAGGCTGTTCGAAGAGGGGCGATGGGTGACTGGTGCGACTGGTGGGGGATTCTGGATTCCAGTGATTCAAGCCGTCCGAATGATGGTAGGAGACCATTTTCTATTCTTTTGGGGGGGGCCATGGGTTTGGAATGCAAGAAATTGCGACAGTCTGACGACCCGAAGCACCAGTTAGAGCAACCCAAGCCACAGCAACAGTGCATTAGTTTCTGAGCTGAGACATTGACCGGTGGCCCGATGTTGTGGTTTAGGCAAACTGGGAAGCGCCATCTGTACTGCTGCGGTATCGAGATACTACCCGAACCAGCACCAACGGTACAGTCAATGTTCGGCCAAAAATATCACTTATATAGTCCCTTGCTGTCCTTTCCATTTGCAATTGCTATAATGAATACCGCTTACATTTACTAACGGCAAGGTCACTTATTGGTCACCCAGTACAAGAATTGTTGCAGTCAAAGGAGGCCCTCAGATTCCGGGCCATCTGCGATGAGCGGATTACCCTGAAGCTTCTCTGGGATTCAGTTTCTGGGGGGCAGGTCCCACCCCTTGCCGTCCAGGCCGCACGATCGGCGGCTCCCCTGGAGCGTTCCTGGCGAAACTCGAATTGCCCGTGACGAGGTGTGCGAGACTCAAATTGGTTGGTTGGAGAGACGGGCGAACTCAGGGTTTTCAGGGGCGGCCACTCCCGTGACCGCCTGAAGGCACCCGCCTTTGAGTGACGGTGGAATTCTCCATGGCCGTCCCGTGCCGCGGTTTTTTGGGGGGAACTCAGAAGAAAACGATCAGCGTGAGCTGTTTTTCACCTTTGGTGATGGAGCCCAAACACTGAGACTGGAATAGTTAGCTATAACATTGGGGTATAGTATTTGATGATTTGTGTATGATTATGTATGTCAATGTATGTCAGTATTCCATACATGGATGCTCTGCAAAGATCAATGATTGGATGCAGTACCATCCACCATCGTGTGACAGCTTCAAAATTTTACTTTTTTGTCCAGCACCTGGCCTTAGAAAATATCCGAGCGCTAGCAAAAGATAGGATACTTCTGGGCTATCGTGGATCCTCAATCTCTCTGATATGTCTTCGTCAGTATGACGGGTTCATCCTTCATTCCCATGGCACTCAAACATGTGACCTCCGTGTTCTGCTCCAGTGCTTTCCGACACAAATCGAACACACCCAGTGACTCAAGGGAAACCATGGGGATCACATGCGTTCCTCCCCATTTGGGTGACTGATTTTTGCCAAGCTCACGCTCACAAAGGGCCTGCACTGCCGGCTCGAGCACAGGAAAACAACTCCTTGGCCGGTCCCTACTCAGCGGGCCCGGTCCCTCCTTGGCCAGTCAGACTGGTGGCTGATGTGGCAAGTCTTCCATGGCCTTAATTCGAGACTTCAAGTCCTCCAAGAGCTCCAAACGTCTCTGCGCAGCGGCCGAGAACTCGCCCGAGCCCGACTGGTCTGGCGTCCCGTCCGCTCCGGGACCCGCCGGCTTCGTCGCGCCCAGGGTCGCAGCGCGGGCGATGAGACGGAAGCTGACAGCATTGGGCACCACGCCGTCGGCATTCAGCATCTCATCAAAGAGATTCAGCACGTCCTCCCACTGTTGACTGGTCAAGAACGATGTGAGCAGTGCATTCCAACTGATCACATCCCGCCGGAGCTGGTGCATCGAGTGCATCGAGTGGAACAGCTCTAGAGCGCATGGCCATGGTGCTTCTTCAGTCCTCAATGTCGTCATGGCAGCATTCACGCTCACATCACCTTGGCTACCGCCGCGTGACTGCTAAAAAAACGAAAACAAACACTCCACGGGTTTGAGCTACCTTTGTTTTGTTCTGGAGTGTCCCGAAGGAAAGGATGAACAACCACAGAAAGACCCACTATAACTACTACACAAACTCTATTAATACCTAGAACATACCTAGAACCCATTTGACCTCATTTTTGATAAGAAAGCGCAATTCTTGGATTATACCAGGACCTTCCTGGCCTGTTAGAGGTTAATGGGGTGTCCAAAAACCACCTGTTGGAAGGCCCTGGTATATATATATACAGATACATATGTCATCATATGTCAATGTCCTCCCTATAGCTCTCAAGTCCCTGGCGCTTCCAGTGGCAGCGCTTCCGGCCAGGATCATGTGGATGATATTGACCGCAAATGAGAAGCTTCAACAACCCAAACCACGTTTGATTGGTTATGTTAGATGATGTTTATGACTGATTATTGTGACTGACTACTTGAGTGACTATAGTAGTATTACGTTAGATTATTATTGGCATGATTGATTAACCATTGTCTTCATTACATTTGCTACCCGTGTTTTCATACCTCCATTTTGACCTAAGCAGGGCAGCCGCTCTGCTGAAACAAATAGCGTGCAAAAGCAGGGCATACTCGCACTCATTTCATGTCCTAAGTTCTAAGTGTGGTTGTATAAATGTTATAAATTGAGAGGATTTTTGTTGTATAATATTTTGTAAACACATATGTTCAAAGTGAATGAACACAGTTTGAGCACACCAATGAATGACACACGACCTCACTGACTCACACCATGGCTCGCCAAGACCAAGACAATACTGTCTTGCAGCCTCGAACCAACAAAAGAACAGTCTTTAGCCTCTGAACAAAGGACCTCACAGTCTTTAAAACGCGTCTGCACAAAGTCTAGTGGTTCGTTTTGGGCAAACCATTCGTCGACAAGTTACTTGGTTGGATCTCCCATCGATCCACCATCTCAGTGAGCAAACCCAAGGCCTGCTGCCATTCTCCACGTGGTTCACAGGAAGAGATGAGAGCACTCAGAGTAATGATATCTGGTTGAAGTTCACTTCGTGGTATCAAATCCAAAAAGCCAAAGGCTTCTTGCCACCTTCCAACCTTCTCCTTCTTGCCACCACGGACCGAAGCGACTGGATCAGACTTGAGACTTCCCCGGTGTGAGCACATGAGACGAATGGAGTCAACATACATACCTTACAAGTCCAGTCTGACCCAGCAAAACCAGGTCGTTTGCGTGCTTGAATAGTGTAACCAACTCTAGTAAAATGAGTATGTAGAGATATACAATCATATACAGCATGAGACCATGATCATCCCTGATCCATTTATGCAGGTATAACTCCCAACCAGTACCATGGGATGGTCTGGGATGATCTCTCCACGCGCTGAGAGTGGTGGATTTCAGGGGTCAGTGCAGTGCAGGCAAATAATACTCGGAGTATTTGGGGGCAAAGAACTATACCACATCGAGGATGGACCCAGCTCGAGGAGATTTAAAAGGCCTCGCTCCTGTCGAATGGACAGAAGATGAAGAAGGGACACAGCCGGAAACAGCTTCTCTTCATGGCCGTTTCAACCAGATTTTTCCGCAGAACCTGAACACCCATGTTCTCTGGGGTTGCCAAATCTTCCAGTCCCATGGATGCTCGTCCTGGTCCACTCCACCCCTCCCGATTCCGCCCACACCAGGCGCGCCCAGCGGCGTAGCAGCTGATCACCGCGTTGAAGCCCAGGAGATCCGCCAAAGACCTTCCGCCGGAGAGCGGTTCCAAGCGCCGGAAGAAGCGCAGCGCGGACAGCGCTGGAGACCAGCGCTGCGCCTTCTCGCAAGAGCTGAGCAGCGAGCACCAGCTGATGGAATCCTCAGTGTCTGAGTCGTCTGTTCACTAGTGTCATCTCAGTCGTCTGAGCCTTTTCGCCGCCGCCGCCTTTGCAGAACTCTGCTAGAGCGGCCACCGATGAGACATGGTGCGAGTTCTTCGTTTCTTCCAGGACTTCGGACTTGGGAAGGCTAAACCGCTTCCAGGAGTCACACACACATGGGGTTGTATTGAGTCTCTAAGTGAGTGGATATCA